TGCCAGAGCTGTGGGGGGTTCAGAGCCTTGGCTGAGGCTGCTGCCATTTACTGTAACACAGCGAGTCACAGCTCATTCTGGAAACTGAGCCACTGAGGAGCAAAGGCCTGTGAGCAGCAGCTGGAGGCTCTGCAGAGGGTAGAGCACAGTAAAGAGCCAGGAGAAACGTACCTGAAGAAGGTGACAAAGAACTGCACCAGGTCCATGATGCTGTTGTGCTGAGAGAAAGCAATCTGTTGGAAAAGAGAGGATTGGTGTAAGAATGTACACTCACTGGCCACTTTATTAGGTACAACGGGAGAATTGTGTGCAACACTTTCACCTTAACATCTGTGTTTATGAAGCTCAAGATGTTTCAGCTGTTGGTGAAATTGTTATAAAAGTATAAATTTAATGAATTCTATATTTTTGTTCTCCTCAGATACATACATGAGTGGGTCAGAATATTAGGAACACCTCTGAATATAATGTGACCAGTACAACGCCACCTTTGTGACCTCAATAATAAACGTAATATAATATACGTTTGACAATTTCACCAACAGCTGAAACACTGAGCTTCATAAACACAGATGTTAAGGCGGAAGTGTTGCATTGAAGTGCATACAGTAGTACCTAATAAAGTGGCCAGTGACTGTATAAGTAGAGTTGTACAGTACTAATGCACTTAAATAAAAATGATAGGAGACAAACTAAAACTAAGTTATACATATTTTCTCATGGGTTTGTAAGGAGAGGGTTAAAACTTCACATAATTTAATCATGATCAGATAAAAAAGATCTTTTCATTTACATCTTCCCATTTTATCACATGAATATACATCAGATCTCGTAAGTGACCGGGCCTTGTAAGAGCGCATCCCACATGTTCAACCCTCAAAGCAGCAAATCCTCACATTTAAAATGTCTGGTATTTTTATTTACTGATCAAACTACAATTAGCCATTGACTGACTGATTGTGTCCATCCACTTATACTGGTCAAAGATGAAACACAACTACATGCTGTGTTTGTTGTATTTATATTGTTTTCCACAAACCAGCCTCTGATGATACAGTGCAATCCCACTGAGCCCTGGTAGAACCTTGCTTTCCTCCAATATGTCTTACAGAGCATAATGATGCTTGTCATTGTGGGTCAGCATCTTTCTTACCTTAGGTCAGCGTTCAGATCTTTCACATTAGGCCAACTGTTTAATTTTTTTAAATTTCTTTTTCCTAACACATTCTCACATGTCTGAACCAGTGGCATCCAGAATGAAGAGGTGGCGTCTTTTGCACAGAGCAGAACAAAGACAGAGCACCAACCAGGGTTAACATGGGTTTGGCCTTCTGACATGGAGAAGGTTAAAAGCAGCCAAAGGACATGATTCAGATGTGGTGCTCTTTTTCTCTGATGTATTAACCTTATGACACAGTCTAGAGCCTGTGACATGTTATTAAATGACATCACGAAGAAATAACCAACTTCTTTTCTAGATACATGTTCAGACAATACATGTCACACTCGATGCTGCAGCATTAAAATAAGTGTTATTTCCACTTGTTTCATCAGCATACACACCCACACATGCTCATTCCCTTCACTATAAAAACGTTCCTCACCACTCACCTCATCTCATCCTTCAAAATATAGTTTGTCTGCATCAACATCTTTGTGTGTGTGTGTGTGTGTGTGTGTGTGTGTGTGTGCAGCTTTTGTTTGTCTTGGAGTTTCTGAGATGCACCCTGCTGCCTCAGTGCAAAGTTTTGGCCCTCAGCAATAAAAATTCTTGAAAAGACATTGGTGTCCGTCTTTGAACTCCCCCCATGTCAAGAGGATTATTTATTACAAACAAAATTGATTTTCTGTTCACTTTTCCGTAGAGCCTCTGCTCTGTCTGAAAGACTCACAACCTCATAGGATCTTGTTTCTAGACGGCTGGAAGAAGACGAGCACATCGAGATAGACACACACAACCGAGAAAGACACTTTTAGGACCCATAGATGTAACAGCTTTGCTCTAAAGTGAACCAAGAGTGAATGTATAAAAGCCTTAAACTGGACCAAGGGCAACCAGGCTTATTAAAGGAAACCCCAAATGTTGTGGGTCCACACAAAGGTAAAACTCACCACCACCTCAGACAGCCACAGTCAAGTCAAATACATTTTTATGTGTATAGACCAACATCACAAATCTGCTTCAGTGGGCTTTACAGTCTTTACTGTTTGAACTGCAGAGGGACTGTTTGTAAGGATTTATCCACAGTTTTAATAATCAAACTGCCACCCTCATCCTTTAATAGCAACGAAATGCCATGTAGGATGTCTAGAAAACAACAATGCCTTATGAGTGTCCTGTGGTCTGCCACCTGTAGGAGCCAAACTGGGTTTTGATCAAGCAAGTGAAGCTATTTGATAAAGATTAGGACTCCAATGCCATTATGACGACTCTTCCTAATTTAACAGGACTGATGTCATTTAATCCCTGTAGTTGTCAAATATTTTTGTGAACAAAGCTCTGCTGGCTCAATAAAAGGCTAAATACATCCAATAAAATGTAATGTTCATCATCATTTTTATAAACTAGAGATTATACTTTGCTTCTGCACATTACAGACAGTGGATGGCACTGACTACAAGATTACTTGGGACGAGATCATCTGTTGTAGCACTTTGTTTAGTTGGTTGTCACTGTCAGGTCTTTGCATCTTTAGTGGGAGTATGAGGCATCTAATAAGGTTTTAATGACAAGGCTGTTATTTAACTTGACACATGTCTGTGAGCTGTTTCATAAAAACATCAACCCTGTCAGACAGAGCTGCACATTCTGTACTCATTTTCATTTTACATTAAGAGCTCATTATGTTTCATTTTAACTGGCTTGACAAAGGTCTCAAAGTCTTAAGTTTTACTTTATGAAACCTGACATACAAGTGAGGCCACTGTGCAAACTAGCATGTGACATCACCTGATCCTCTTGGCAGGAGCGCTGCCAAAGATTGCCTTTAAAATCAGTAAAACCCTGAGCAGCACTGCAGCTAAGCACCACAGTACATTTGACATCAATATATTTCAAGCATGTCCAACATGGGGATGCCTTCAAATGGCCCTAATAGCCGTAAAGGCTGTGTCTTTGTCTTTGGTGAACCCTCTGAGACTAGTTGGGCAGGGAAGAGAGAAAGTAATGGGGGAGAATGGGCTCTAGAGGATTAGCAGCATTTGTGCATCAGGTAAAATGGCCTGACAGTGAAAAACCTGCAGAAAAGCTGATTTTAGTCCAGAGGGACACAGCATTAATACAGGCATCAGGGAGAAAAGAGCCTGGCTTTGCATTCAGGTTTTTAATGCAGCAATTTGCATCATTACCCCTGACAATATACAACAACAGTTATTATGAATGTCCTGCACACAAAAACACACGCAATAAAGAACTATAGCAGGTAAAACAAAACAAATGAGCACAAAAAATGAAATTTACACTTCGAGTAATATTTTAAATGATCACACACTCCCACACACATTCCACTTGGTTTCTCTCTCCTACATGCAGAAGCCCACAGGCTCCAGGCAACAGCCATCACTGCAATTTACAACAACTGCAGTCATTAAAAACAACTGTAATCAATAAGCTGTTTAGACCACACCCTTTTCCTCCGCTGCAGAGCGTCAAACACACAACACCATTACAAGCACACATGCACAATGCTAAACGTACACACACAAAGAATACACACCTAAACACGTACAACTGACCGCAAACTAAACAATATCCTGAGAAATGTGCTCAACTTGTGAAATGTTCAGTTACTGACACGGATGGAGGGATGGACAGACAGATACTGAGGGAAATTCTATGGGCCTTTTTAAGGGTACACTTGTATCTTTAAATTTATTTTGTCAAAACAATAAAATTTGTTTGATCAAAAACTAAATCAATTAAAAGTAGCAGCTTTAGTGCAAGGTATACAGAAACTGTGGTGCTGCATTTACATGTGCAATACAAATCTAATTCTGTAACACAATGTTACAGTTCAGCTCCTGCAAAACAAGGATTTTTGGAAACGCCTCTGAAGTTTAAAAAGGTTCGTAAAATTTTACAGCCATCTTAGCCATGAGATGCTTTTGAGGAACATGGCCCAGATCAATGTACTGCAGACCCTCTCAGCCTGGAAATGAGCCTTCAGTACATTCACCTCTAAGATTTACACGACTGTTAGACCTTTACAAGTTGCTAATGTAATAACCACATGTGGAGACTGAAGCTTCTGCAGCGCTAGTGTGACGACTAAATCCTGACAGAGTTGGTTCTGATACTAAAAGGCAGCAGGAGGAAACATTGTAGGGGAGAAGGGGTCGCAAAAATTACTACACATGGGAATTCTCAAACACTGAAATAAACCATACATGTCACACACACACACACACACACAGTACTCCTTTTATAAGTATAAAGTAACCGTTTTGAAATCAGAGAGCAGGGACTGCACTGGGGGAATATTTTTAAACTTGAAGCAAAAACTACCATTACGACAGGAATGTGTGAGAAAAGGCAAGAAGAGCTAAGGGCAAGGCAGGGGTAAAAGATGGGAGGAAGAGAAATGATGTAAAATGGCCTCTAAGGACCCTGGTTCCAAAGTCCAGTCATTACTGAGGGCCTACGGTGTCCCTCTGGGGACAAGCCTAGCAGCTGTGACAGCAGTGGGCTGCCTTCATTTCCCTAAACCTGAACAAAGGGCTGCTTGTTAAAACCTGGACTGAAAGAACGTGTTCAGCTAATCAATAAGGGACAAAGAATGACTCATTTAAAAAAGGAGAAAGAGTAGAAAAGGAAAAAGAATGGAGAGAAGGAGCACAAGTGAAAAAGAGGCACAAGATGAATGAAGGGACGGGATGTGCAGAGGGAAGACAGACTGGGAGAGTGAGAGGGCATGGGAGAGCAGGATAAAGACAGGGAATTTGGTCATTTGCTTGTCTCACTTAATCCTCCTCGAGACTGCAGGGCAGTGGAGACGTTCTCTCATACTGACGGATGTTTAAAGGTGCACTCCGTGACTTTTATCATGGACTTTTTCCACAGATTATTCCTGTTGTTTAAAACCATCTGAAGTATGGCACAAATGTTAAACTGACACCTATCAGCACACTGATTTATGCCACTGTTTAATAAGAGCTAAGTTGCTTCATTTATTGACTCGATCTATCTTTGGTCTCAAAGATAAACTTCTCAAGTTACTCATATTTATTCTACAAA